TTAACTGTGAGCACCCCTGGCTAGATAAAAACTAGCATTAACTGTGAGCACCCCTGGCTAGATGAAAACTAGCATTAACTGTGAGCACCCCTAGCTAGATGAAAACTAGCATTAACTGTAAGATCCCCTAGCTAGATGAAAACTAGCATTGACTGCAAGTTCCCCTGGCTAGATGAAAACTAGCATTAACCGTAAACACCCCTGGCTAGATGAAAACTAGCATTAACTGTGAGCACCCCTAGCTAGATGAAAACTAGCATTAACTGTGTGCACCCCTAGCTAGATGAAAACTAGCATTAACTGTGAGCACCCCTAAGATAAATGACATACATGTAATATTGACACTTACTTCTAGATACCCTATGGGACTACTCAGAGGATAGTCCCGGAGTGGTCTCTCTTCTTCCAAGAATTTACCAGCTCTGCCATTTTCTGGTAGACTATAAAAACCGTAATTATTACCATCTTTCAACTCTTTGGCCAATGTCGATAACACTTGTTGTTTGGCAGTATAAACAGTCTTATCAAGGTGAAAACATAAACATTTCTGAAAATAACAAAAAAATTATGAAAAATGTGCATAATATATAAAATTTCCCTATTGGTGTTTTTGCTCATATTATGGGATACATGTATATATTTCAGAGTGACATCACATAAGTGGATATCACAGGAAATATAGCAATATTACTGGTATGCGACTACACACTATGCTTTTATTCAAGTTTTCCTGATTTTTGCAAGTCAGTTAACATTTCTTGTGGGGTCCAAAATAAAGAGACTTTTGTCCTTACCATTAATTACTAATGTATGATCAAAATATCATATTAGCTCTATTAGTAGTGCACATGTACTGAGGTCACAAACAAGCAGCCTCTCGGCTGAGAAAGCTCCGCTGTTTGCAATGCACATTTCAATTATAGAACAGAAGATATCATTAGAAAATGAACAATATCATTAGTATCAATGCAATGGGACTTGCTGTTTTCAACAAAAATTCAAAAATATCATTTTTCACCATGAATGATTGTGGTTTATAACAAGAAGAAAATATCACTTTTTACCAAAAATGACAAAAATATTCACCAAAATTAGAGAATTAAAGATATCATTACAAAATGAACAAATCTGAGAGAGGTCCACATGTAGTACCTATATATGTAATATCAAAGCAATTGAACTTGCAGTTTTTAACAAGAAGTCGAAAATATCACTTTTTACCAAAAATGACAAAAATATTCACCAAAATTAGAGAACTAAAGATATCATTACAAAATGAACAAATCTGAGAGAGATCCACATGTAGTACCTATATATGTATTATCAAAGCAATTGGACTTGCGGTTTTTAACAAGAAGTCGAAAATATCACTTTTTACCAAAAATTACAAAAATATTCACCAAAATTAGAGAATTACCAGGAGATTATCAAAGTCAGGATCAATTCGGTTATGGCCGCGTGGAAAACAAAACTCTCCACCACTAATCCATTTAGCCAGTCAAAGCTATATGGGGGTTCAGAGCCAAACTCAGATTAAGCTGACTTGATCTGAGCCAGTGAGCTCTGAAAACATACCTTCGGATAAACAAGGCAATTAACACTTACTTGTAAATTTTGTTCAGGTATTGATACTCTCACGTAGATAGAGTCCGAATTTTCAGATCCACTCGACTGCATAGACTCTGAGGAACCATCTTTTTCTAAGACCAGTCCATTAATCTTAGGGGAGGGTGGCCTATTTGGAGGAGGGGGAGGTATATGATCTGGTGGAGGTGGAATATCTTCTTGGTGGATATTCATGCTTTGTTTCTTCTCCGTTTCATGAAAATTCTGTAATAAATAAACATGAATCAAATTTAGAATGATTATTTTATATGCATCATTGACTCAATTTCAGTTTAACCCACATGATTCATTGCAAGATAAGTATGTGTGGGACTCACAGGAACACCTACAATGTAAGTCCCTACATGCAAGTATGTTCTGTTAAATTAATGATACATGTAAATAGAAAGGGCTCACTAAGTGAGTTATACTTGCAATACAATATCACATGAAGGAGCCCCTAAGTGAGTTCCATTAACAAAATATGCTCATAATAAGGAACCCGTAAGTGAGTTCTACTGGCAATACAATCTCACAGGAAGGAGCCCCTAAGTGTGTTCTATTAACAAAATATGCTCATAAGGAACCTGTAAGTGAGTTCTACTGGCAATACAATCTCACAGGAAGGAGCCCCAAAATAAGCTTTATTAACAATACATTCTCACAGAGAGGAGCTCCTAAGTGAGTTCTATTAACGAAATATGCTTGTAATAAGAAACTCTAAGTGAGTTTTATCAACTATACATTCTCATAGGATGGAGCCCTTAAGTGAATTCTATTACCAAACCATGCTCATAATAAGGAACCCCTAGGTGAGTTATATTACCAATTTATTCTCAAAGGAAAGACCCTAAGTGAGTTCTATTTAACAAAACACTTTACAATAGATGCTGCAGCAATAGAATCCTACTACTGAACATTCGTACAACCAAAATCATTAGTACAGCACAAAGTGTTTTTCATTGTCATTTCAGGATGTTATCACCATTAAGTTAATACATGTATATGAACATAGAAAAGATGTACATGTATAGTCACAAGAATACCACATGTAAGTATGAAACCAGGCGGTACAGGATCACGTCAACCTCTACTACACAACGGTCGATATGTCAGTCATACTGCCTTCTTACACTTATCACGGCATTTGTGTGATTACATCATTCTATATGTCCAAGCAATGAAATGTACAATACGAAGATTTGCCATGTACTTCACCTCATCCTTTTCTCCCAGGCATCACACATGCATGTACATGTACAATACAGTTAGTCAGTACTTCCACAGAAGTTAACAGAAATTCCAAGAAAAAAAACACAGCTGTCACTCAGGGAGAATCAATAACGCAATGTACGACAGACAACACATCATACGTATCACATACGTGTACATTCATGGATTTCCTTCGGTGTAAAAATAGGACCCTAAGTAAAAATAGCGTCAACACAACAGCTTATAAGGTCATTGACGTCAGTGGGAAAAAAGTATCCACCAAATCGATGACTTATTTCCATCAGCAATGCTACATGTATGTACATTATAGTGTAACTTGGGACACCACCTTTGTGAGGGAATTATCACACATGTACAATATTGTATACCAATGACATTCTATAGAAAAATAAAGAAAGCCATTGACAAGTATTGTGTTTCACAAGTATACTGTGTGTATACTGAACACAATGCTAAAAACCACAATGTGCAAGGATTATCAGGACACAGAAAAAAAAAAATTGAGAAAATACAAGCCAAGTCTGTCAATAATCTGCGATTTAACACACAGTTTTGACATAATTCTTTGAACATTGGCTTTACATAGTGGCTTTTCAAACATGTAAATATTTCAACCAGTTGAATACAAGTAAAACGTGATGATTTTTCTACTTTCATTTAACCCTTTGAATGTTCATGTTCAACCTTTTACAAAACACAAAATGTAGGTCGTCTACATAATTTTTTTCCTAATTTTTAAACAATTTTGATTACAATCTATTGGCAATGCAAAATTAGGTTCATTTGTTCCAAAATTAACAAATAAACAAAGGTAAAAAACATAACAATTTGCAATATGTTGTATTTAAATTTTGGAAGGAAATATTATGACATTACAAGAGTTAAAGAATAATATGGCCAGCACACTTTGTCACAGAAATTTATGTAACTTTGATATGTTTTTTGCTAAGAACAAATTGAGAGTATCTAAAATAGTGTTTGAATTACAAACCACAGACGCATGTCAACCAACTTTCTATTCAACATGGCAACCAGAGTATGGGAAAATTACATTGTCATTGTCTCCCTAAAATTAAGTTTGGGTACTCTCTCTTTTTTTTTTTGATCTTTGTCATTTATTTGTTTTATCATTCAATTCTTTTAAATTTTTCACATCTTTACAAGTTAAAGAAGTCCATTCTTTTATATGATTATAAAGTTGTAGAAATGTACTGGATTCATTGGTTGACATGGAAACGTTAACATGATTGCAATCATGAATTAGTTCTGAAAAAAATAAATCCCAGATCTTCATTCAAATTATGACTGAGAAGAGGTTTCATTGAGTTCACTAAACTCCTAGCAACTATTTTTTTTTTTTTTCAAAAGTTTCGATAAAGACCTGTAGGCAATCGGACATTATGTCCAACTGGTTCAAATTCAAGCGAAAAACATGATTGTGGTTCTCATCCAGCTTTGGGGCACCAAAGACAACTTTTGACATCTTTTCACAAAATAAAAAGACAAAATTGTTTTCATATTTTGAGTACCAGGGTACTATGACCTATAATCAATTAAAAACTTGTATCCATTCGATACAACAACAAAATTAACAATAATAATTAAAATATGCAAAATGTGACACAAAAATTTCAGCGGGATAAATTTGTATGTTAGGCAGGTGAAAACTAGCGCTAGAAATACTGTAAAATGACTAATTTTCACTGGGTTTAAATTTCACTGATTTACCATTTCAGGCATATTCAGTGGGTTTTAAATTCACGGTTTCGTCATTTAGATAATGTGTTCTATGTTAAATTTTACATATTCACTGGGTTTTAATTTAACGCATTTTTCCAGTCAGCGAAATAAGCTAAAATAAAACCCAGTGAATAATTACCCCCTTTACAGTATGACATCAAATACATGAACACAAACCAGAACAGGCAGAGTCCAAATTAATGGCATTTATACCTGTGTAAGTACAGAATTTAAAAATTTTCACAAAATTATCTCTATCTATTTTCTGTCAATTATAATACTCTTACTTTCATCAGTGAATGTAGTAAATTTTGATTGTTTTCAAAACTTACTACCGTGAATACCTCACGATGAGTTAGTAAAAATTAAATTACGTATATGGTAAATGTTTTCTATTTCTTGTTCTCTTTTAGCCATTACCAATCTTACTATTAATATTAAAAATTCCAGAGAGCGTCAGCTTTACTGAAAACAATTACCATGACAACGGGAATAATTTCACCGCTTCAAGTCTAAATATACTGCAAATCAAAAAGGTTGATTTAACCAACCATGGTAGAATGATGTCCAGGGTAACACGCCCACTCATATCAAATACAATATTGTATCAAAAAAAAACATAATATCAATTTTGCTGGTATAAGTTATGAATACTAAATTTTCTGAGAAATATATTAAAATGAAATCTGACATTTAGAATCAATTCTATTAATAATTAAAATTTAATATTCATCTCTAGATACCAAAGATTGGAGTAATATGAAATGTTCAAAAGTGCACGATTCATTTGCGGTGGGGTTTATCGTCCATGCATGCAAGCAATGATCTATTAAAAATATGATTCTTGAATCTCAAATATAGAGTTGTGCAGAATTATGGTCTGTGCACTTAACACATGGTACATTGTACATAACCTGAGGACAACAAATTGTAAGGTAGAACAAATTTCACTGGAGGCGCAATGGTCCAAATGAACGAGATCGCTGTGCACCATTCATTTTTGTTTCCAACTCGCTATGTGATAAGTCCACACACAAAAAAAGTGATCTTTGAACATACTCACAAAAGCCTCTGATTTGCACACTATTTTGCCTATGTAAGAAAAACGAACATGTAAATTATCTTCACCTATAGCAAGATGTTTATTATATATTTTGGGTGGTTTTTGGTAGCTCAAAAACTATATCATGATCCTATTTACTGAGTGAAACGCACAATATAACATCTTCTATTGAGTTCCTTTTTTCTGAAAAATTCATCTTTTTCAACTGATAATCCAAGTTCTAAGTTAAATTACAGTTCTTCTAGCAGTACTCCATATACATTTCAAATATGCCACTGTCTTCTTCCAGAACTGCCTGTCCATTATTGTTTTGAACTTTTATATTTTGGTCCTAGCTTCGCCTGTTGCCTTACATTATCGGTAATTTGGGAATCAGGAATTGAAATGAACGGTTTATTCAAACCCTAACGTGCTGATTAAAATGTACAATGTGAACGTGATAATTGCGCAACTCGAATGCAATCAATGTACAACAGCTGGGTGAGAGACGTACAGCATACAGGTGTGAGGTACATGTAGTCACTTTGCATATGTAGAACATAAAAGTACATGCACTTACTTATGATGCACATGGAACAGCAAAGTTCCATGCCTGGCTATCACTCTGTTAAGGTTATGTATGAACTACATCATGTACGCATACCAGATATGTGATGTACATGTGGTATGTTGAACTTTAAAACACATAGACATGTCCGGACTTGTTCCCCAAGATAATGTTAATATAAAAAAGATCAATCACCACCAATAGCTTATTAAACAGATAATAACCTCTGACTATTGTCATAACTTGTCAGTAGTTGCTAAGTTTGTACAAGGGATGAACCATCAGCAAATTGGAGGGGGAGTATTTGATAGGTTTCTACAAAGGGATGAACCATCAGCAATGTGGGAGGAGGTATTTGCTAGGTTTCTACAAAGGGGTGAACCATCAGCAATGTGGGAGGGGATAGTCAAGCAACAGTTATTTACATTACAAACCAAGATAAATGAAAAAGTACCGATATAAAAGTATTTTGACCCCCTCCCAACTTTCACATGGCTG